GACTGATATGTAAAATCTGTCTCTCCTGCCCTGTCACATTGATTATTGGACCTGTGTCACTCGGTGAGGCCACAGTAACGGATAACAAGCACATAATCCTTCTCGTAATGACTGTCTAAATTTATACCTGGAAAATAAGCAGGGAGAGCTAATCAACCAAAGACTTTTAATTTCTCTAAATCCTAAAGAATTATGGAGAAAAACAATTATTTGGATTCAAAGAGTGTTGTTGTTGACTTGAGCTTTTTTAAATTTACCTCCCCGGCAGCTGAGACAAGCCATTCGCTGGCGATAACATTCCTACCTGTGTGTCCTCCGGCACACATCTTCAGCCATCTGAGTGCCTGAAGCTGGGAGACGTCAGAGGCGGTTACGCGTCTGTAAAGCGATCTCCAACAGCAGTTTCAACACAGGCCTAAACGTAAAAGATCAGGGAAAATAAACCCTGATCTGCAAGCACTTTCTCCTCGTTCATCTCCCATCTCTTTCTGCTTCCCACTTCTTTAATGTCATGTCATGCTTTCATCCAAATAAGTATCTTGCTCTTTCCCTTCTCTCATCTTTACTTTAAACTTGAGCTTCATGCTCTAAGTCCCTTAAAGCAAAGAGGGCGTTTTAATGCCGACTCTGGAAGCTGGAAAATGGGATTTTTAAATGATGAGGAATAATTTAAAGACTTCCATCCAACGTCTACATGAAGAGATAACTTTTATTTTTATTTATGTATGCTCTGTGTGCTCTCCTGTGCACAAACCGAGTTTACACACATATATATAGATAGATGTGATAAAGAAAACATAGCTTGAGTGGCAACTTAACAGGTAGTTGGTCGCATCTTTAAAAAAACATTTTAATACCATTTTTACTTAGTAAGACATGTTGAAAATTGGCATATAATGTGTACCCAAAGATATTCTGCATTAACAGTTATCCTGCAAATGTCAGATCACAAGAAAAAAAGCCAAAGTGTTATTACAGCTGAAAAATTAAAGGTAAATGTTAAAACTTATGTTGTATCAAATGCTCTAAAGAGAAGAAAAAGCAGACAGGAAGAACCACAGGAGATTTATAAGCAAAATCAGATGAAAATTCAGGGTCCTTTGCTTGCATAACAAAAGGCTGACTCAAGAGCAGTGCAAGAGAGCATTAGCTTTCCCCTTGAGTACATGTACTGTCCCCCGAATTCCCCGGGAAAGCTCCTTAGACAGTAAATGGATAGAAATTTAACTTGAGGCTATGCCTGTTGTACGTTCATTGTTGTCACCAGGTGAGTTTGTCTGTGTGTGTCATCCTGGGAAGATGGGGTCCTGGTCCTCCACTGAGATCTAACACAAAGGCAGCTTAAAGCACTTTCGCTGGTATATGTGTGTCTGTCTATGAAAAGATTTTATCACCACAATAGCATCACAGCAGTGCATGATACAATAATTAAAGGTTACAGATGTATTCACTTTAGTTTCTTAGGATCACTGTTAGTTACAGTAATGCAGTTCCTGCGGTTCAAAAGAAACTGAAGTGGACTGTAGTGTCAGATCCAAATGATGAGTGAATTTGGAGATCGGTGTGGTCTAACTCCTGGAAATAAAGCAGCCAGCATTCCTGTCACAGCTTCATTATTTAAAAGCATTTTGCATTTTCGACCCTTCAAGTTTTACTTGGAACTATTCACTTTTCTTATCTAAGAGAAAGCGGTGCAAAACTTTTGATTGGCAGTGCTAATCCATCAGAGTGCACAAGGTTGTATGTGTGACTGTGGAGCTCAGCACTACATCAGATTTCCTGTAATGCCAGAGACGTGGTTGTCCTCCATCTGACAGCTCATCTGCAGCAGGTCAAACACCTGTCACACTTCACTGTCTGTCAGGGAAGGTGATGGCAGACCAGCTGGTGGCCAAACTGCCCTTCGGGGCAAGCTCACATAGTTTAAAAGGTACCCGTCGGTGGACACAGAGTGACTCAGCTGGAGGCAGAATAAAGTATTTTTTCCCAATGTTAGACCTTTTTACCGAAACAATCTTTTGAATTTATTCAAACCGTACAACAGAGAATTTTTGTATGGACATATATTCACCTTTTTAAAATCCACATTAGGGCTGTTCGAGAAAAGAGCCGGTCTTTCTGAATACGATCCTGCACATTTGCCTTAACTTTTGAAATAAATTCAGCACATGAAAGGAAGAAAGGGACAAAATCCCCACACTGGAAAGAAGTTGAAAATTGAAAGCCGAATCTTTTGTAAAGCCCGATATGTGGTCTGCTAAATGAAATGTCCTTTTAGGTGAATACATGTAGGGAAAATGAGATTTAAAAATCAGAATCTTTGAACATAAAAGTAGCACAAGGCATAGAGACGAAAGATCCCCAGTGGCAAAGCATTTCGATTCAACTGAACATGAATCTTGTGTTCCAAAAGAGCAGGCAAAAGAGGTTTGTTACAAAGGTACACCTGTTTAACTGCTCCTTTAGACAAATATCTAATGAGCCAATCACATGGCAGCGACTCAGTTTTATGTAGACATGGTCGAGACGACTTGTTGAAGCTCAAACTGAGCATCAGAAATGGAAAAAAAAAAAAGGTGATTTAAGTGATTTTGAATGTGGTGTCGTTGTTGGCGCCAGATGGGCTGGTCTGAGTACTTCATAAACTGCTGATCTACTGGGATTTCCCACACACAGCCATCTCCAGGGTTTACAGAGAACGATCGGAAAAAGGGAACACAGAGAGCGCAGTTCTCTTGAGGAAAATGCCACTATTGCAGTATCTGAAAACACTGATTCGTGGATTATTTTGTCATTGGTTTGGGATAGTGTGAAATGCCACAAAATATTTCAGTATTGTTGCGAACATGGTGTGCCTAACAATATGTCCAGATTCATGAACTCTAAAGGTTTAAGACTAGAAACTAAAGACCTGTCATCCAGTCATTTCTTGTGTCTTACCGTATTTCCTATATTACATTACAAATTTGTCATTTTTCTCATTTTGGGGGATTTTGTGGCTTTTGGTGGCTTAAACTTTTACTTATTATGTTGTTTACATAACACTTTCTGTATTGTTATCGATAACATTCTGGTGATATTAATATACTAGTACAATTTTTCACATTTTCTGTAGAGCATGGTAGTATTTACAACTACGTTAAACCATGACATACTATCTTTTTTTATTCTGCCATGTTTTGATCGGTCTCACTATACATGTTTGAGATTGTAATTTGAGCATGATGCTAAATTTGTATCACATTAACAACAGGAAAGAGTAAAATGACTGGCAAAGAGGATGAAAAATGCAAACTAATGAAGACTTTACAAAGGAAGCAAAGTCTACAAATGAACTATGAACTTACAAGGTGTGACTTTAAAGCCTGTTTTTGATGTATAAAGATACTTTTTGCATTTGTCAGACAAACGTTAGCAGTCTCCGTGGGACAAAACATCCAATCACATCTTACCGTAACATCTGTTTTCTGCTCTGATTGTTAAGGGAGAGGGTATTTTTAGCTCCACATATTGAATAACAGCAGACACTTCTCCAGAGATTTAAAATTGAGACAAACAGACAAGCCAACAACAGAGCAAAATAGCATGACACAGCAGTAGTGCTGCAACACCGAGGGTGCTGTCAGCCGCCATCTATCCTCCGGCTACCCAGTGGACATCACCCTTCCCGCAAGGCCTCCCTGAATGCACCTTAGCCTTTTATACTAAGCAGGTAACTCAGAAAAATCAGCATTTAGGCAAGAACACAAGCTTTGATATAAATGTTTGGCCCTGCGACAGCAGAAACACTTTTTTGTGCACTGCAGCACAACTTGCTGCGACATTAAGCAGGACCATTTGTCAAAGTGCTTCCCACCAGAGATCCCTGATGTGACGCCGCTTCCGAGGAGTCGACACTTTGTAGCCTTAAAACTAGCCTTAAAACTTCTTCCACAGAAGAAACGACGACCTCTGCGTCAGCAAAAAATGCCTTCGCGTCCACACAACCTCTGCAGAAAACATTGGTTGTTAAAAGCCAGCTCTCATATATAAGGACACAATTTGGTCTGATGTTACTATGTCCAAATGATTCGTGTCATCTAACCAAGTGTCATGCATGAACATGAAAGCTATTTTATTTGCCTTGAGGCTTGCAGATTAAAAATGCAGCGGTGCAAGATGACTAACCAAGGGTTGTGCCTCCAGGGTATGAGCCACTTCCTACTCTTCAAGTTTTTACTTAACGCAGAACAAAAGGCTCAGGGTAGCTACCATCACAGAGGGAATAATACCATAAACATGCTTAATCCCTTCAAATAAACATAAGATGTAGCAGAGTGGGACAGTGTGCTTATTTCAGCATCCTGGGGGGTCGAGGACAAAAAACAAAAGATAAATGTAGGTATCAGTGCTGCTTAACAGATGGCGAACTGCTGAATTTTTAAGGTTTGCAACCCACATAACTGATACTTGAATGCAAGTCAGGAAACTGATGTCACCACTGAAGGAAATAACTAACCTCGGAAATCCTCTTCATCCAGTACTATTCAGTAACGTGGAATTTAAAGATGTAAGTGAGTAAAAATGTGACAATAGGCAGCGAAGTTCACACTTTCCTGTGGACGTATCATCTGATAATCCAACTGCGAGTATCTATGAACCACACGGCAGCTACGTCTGGAGAATGGCAGGAAACGGGGCCCTTTGGCACATTTAGGAATGTCCGTGAAGTAGACACAGCAAGTCCGTGTTGTACCCAAGAATTTGCATCGCAAAGCAGGAAATTCATAGTGTTTCCACTCTGTCTCAACGCTTCCTGTCTCAGTTAATGGGCCCCAAACACAGTTTCAGGAGAAACAGCAGAGCATACACCTCAGAATCTCCAGGACTTTCCACGCTCTGTACACACATTCCTGATTTTACCTCTTGACGCAGCCTCTTGTATCATGACAATGGCAGGAACGAAAAGCAGTAGGGATGTTTTTTGGAGGCATGGAGGGGGGTTGGGGTGTGTATTGTACCTCGTTTCCTTGAGTGGTGCAGCAGAGAGCTGAGAGCCAGCTGGGACGAGCGAACAAGAGGAGCAACATCCGTACAGAACATCCAAGGTCCCCAGATTTCCCGCCGGGTGATGACCACGTGTCCGGAGCCCAAACAGCAAGAGAGACGGAGGGAAAGATGTCGCATTGTTCTCCTCTCTCCTCCTCCTCCTTCCCCCCCCTTACCCACCACCATTAGTGAGACGGATTAACTCCAAGAGCTTCTAGTGTAGAGTGTGTCTGGCTCGCTGTATGCTGATACACACACAGACACTGCATCAATTAGACCTATTGTTATTCAGAGTGACAGGCGAAGGCAGATGCGCTCTACAACAACACGACCAGGACAATTGGCCTGAAGCGGGAGAATTTACTTATGGATGAGCACCCCGGTTGCTCAGTTCACCAAACAGACTAAAGCTCTAATAAGGCAATTAAAGACTAAAACTGTGCGTACTGCAGCACCCAAACATGCCCGTGAAGGGCACACCCTGAGAGCGCCCTAGAGTCCTCACAGGGGTGACCTCTCCCTTCCAGCCACTGCAGGAGCAAGCAGAGCAGCTGTAATGACTTGAATCAACATCTCCTGCAGCTCTGGGGCTGATGTTCACTCAGAGATGACAGACGATATGATGGCTTGGAGGCCTGACAGGGTTGACATTTTAAAGTGAGATCCTGCTGATGCTGGTCTGGTGGGACTCCGGTTGCAGTGCAGGAGGTGTCAGAGAGGAACATGTTTGACACAACATTTGGATCAATATCACTGAGCAGAAAGCGCCCGATGATGCCGGCGCTGTAATCGGGAAAGCAGCAAACGACAAATTAGAAGTGGCGGAAACTGACAAAGTATCAAGCAGGTGTTTTCTCTCTCTCCAGTCATGGGAAAAGAACAGATCCATGATCCATCACAGTTTGCAGATTTCTGCCCACAAAATGACAAACATGATCCTGACCTTGCAATTTGAGTGAAGACCCATTAGGTGATCATCGTGTACAGGTTTCACTGAAATCTGTACACAATGAGGGGCAATCCATTCATCAGTCTTTCTTCCAATTGAGCTATAAACGACTATTTTCACTAACAAATAATGAAAAATGGAAAAGACGTTTACCATCTTAGTTTATCTAACTGCGCATTTGTTTGTGCGGGAGTTTAAGTACCTCAGGATCTTGTTCGCCAGTAAGGGGAGAAGAGGGCGAGAGATTGGCAGACGGGTTGGGAGCACAGCTGCAGTGATGCTGATGGTGAAAAGGCAGGTGAGCATTAAAAGTAAAGCTCTCAATTTACTGGTCGATCTGCATCCCTCACCTATGGTCACGAGCTCTGGGTAGTGACCGAAAGAACAAGATCGCAGATATAAGCAGTGGAAATAATTTTTCTCTGAAGGGTGGCTGGCCTCTTCCTCTTCCTTAAAATACCTACCTGAAGAGCTCAGTCATCTGAGAGGGGCTCAGAGGAGAGCCACTACTCCTCCGCATCAAAAGGAGCCAGTTTAGGTGGTTCGGGGATTTGATAAGGATGCTTCCCGGGCACCTCCTGGGTGACGTGTTCTGGGCATGTCCCACACATTACATCTCTCTTAGTGATCCCCCAGATAGACTGCTGCTCCTGCGAGTCGTTCCCAGATAAATGGAAGAAAATGTTTATATACAAGTTGTTTAAAAAACAGATGTTCCTTGAATGGCCACTTGAAGCTGTATCTAAATGGAGACAGTCCATTCCCATACTGAAATGGATTAATTTTTTACATGACTCTGTATAAAATCTTAAAAAATACAGGGTCATGAGAGGACTGGCACCTATCCCAGCTGCCAGAGGATGAAAGATGGCTTCTCCTCTAAAAATTCAAGTCGCTAAATTGGACCTCTCAACAGGATGCGACTTTTTAGAAATATTTTTATCCAATTATCTGATGAGTCACATGACTTGCTGTGCGGTTTGCTGTACTTCCAGGAATAAGTCTGTGCTCTAGTTTGTTTAGTGAGTGAAATTTAATGTTTATTTTATTTGTGCAATAGTGTGCAAAGGTCTTGAGCCGCCCCTCATTTCTTTATACTTTGCTTCCAAGGAGACAGACTTTCTTGTTGTTATTTTAAAAGTGTTCTTGGGCAGCAGCTCTCCAGGCTTTCTGAAGGTCTCTCAGAGTTTTGACCATTTCAGAGGAATATTTTTGTTGGAAAGCTGCTTAGCACGGACCTATGAAATGCTCAATCTTTAAAAAAGTATCTAACTCAAGGGATGAACCAGTGATGTATCTACAAATAAAAGACAACTTAGCAAATAACCCATTTTAAATAGTATCTTTAGGCACTTTGTTACTCACAAAAACACAATTTGTTCTAATTCCTTTATATGAATCTATATAAAAAGCCAGTTTGACAGGCATACAATTGTGTTTTTCCACCAACAAAATGATTCCTAAAGAGCTTTTAGCTGAATACTTGTCATTTCTCCAGCAGAAAAATATCAGAAAGTCGTGTTCAGTTGATCCATCTACTGTTCACTGAAGCCTGATCAGACATGGTCTCAGTTGGTGGCTTCCAAGAAGCCAATCTTAAAGAAGGGAAACAGGAAGTAAACTTAAGGTATGCCAGATATGCAATATAATATACAAGAACTGGACTGAAAATCAGTGGCAACAGCGCTGATGGAATGATGAATCCACATTTGAGATATCTGGTTGAAATCTGTAGTTGGCTATATATGTTGAGGAAGTCAGGAGAGCGGTACAACAATGAGTTTCTACAGCTATTTGTAAAACGCAGTGGAGGCTTTGTCTTAGCTTGGGGCTGCATTTCACCCAGTGATGTTGGAATTATGAACACAGAAAAGAACCAACAGACTTTGATCCACCATACAGTACCATCTCAAATGCATCTGATTGGGAACAGCTTTACTTTTTGTATGTCAATGCCCCCCTCAAAAAACAACTGCCAATGGAGAAAAGCACAAAGTGGAACAAAATCAGTCATGGATTGGCCTCCCGAGAGTCTGCACCTCAGCATCACTGAAGCAGTGTGGAATCATCTTGACAGAAAACAGAACAAATGACAGAAACAACTAGAAAGAAGAGCTTTGAAGGTCCTTAAAGAAGCTTGGAGAAATATTTCTGAAGCCTGCTTAAAGAAATGACAGGAAAGCTTCTCTAAGAGATTTCTGGCTGTGTTAAAGGATAAAAATGTTCCAAATACAGACTGTCAAGCTTGTTAGAAGTGAACACATTGTTTTTGCTTTACATACTGTATGTCCTGTATGTCTGCACATTTTAACATTCCCAATTCTCCAAAGCAAAATATAAGGAAATGAAGGGTGGTTCAAGACTTTTGCACAGTACTATATTCTATCCCCGGTTAGTAGCAGATATTTCTATCTGTGTTGCATGCATACTTTGTGCATTTTATTAACCAGCTAACTGGCATTAGCTAATAACTTGACATTTAACCTTTAAGTTAAAATGTGTTCAAGTCTGGGTCCAAAAAAAAATACTGCAATGGCCAAAATAACACCCTTCAGGCTTCAAATACAGTTGTCCACAAATAAATGGGTGATGTTACCATAGAAACCTCTATCTTGCATTTATTAATTGACTGTTTTTGATCAATAGTCTATTAGATAAACACTTAAGCATAAAATGTACTGCACTAAAGCCTTCATGAAACATCTAGCGCCTTATAAATTCTCAATTTTGTGTGCCTAAAATGTCCAATTACACGCAGCCACTATTTTCTTCGTAGACAAAAATAATCCTTGTGAAACTGGGTTGATAATTGCTGTCCTGCTTACAGTGTCAGGCCGAAGTGCTGTGAACAAAACAAGCCAATTATTCTGAAACCATTTTGATTTTTTCTTCAGAACACACAGGATCTGAGCCTTGCTAATAAGCCTCGCTTTCATAACTCCAACACCCCAAACCAAGAGAGCACAAGTTATAACATGATCCGTGTGCTGAGTAACACAATGATGGTGGTTATTTTCACTGAGGTTTGGAGCTCCATTTAACCTGACGCAAGAGGATCAAGATTAGGGTACAAGCGCCTTAGAGGAACATTTTTTAAATACATGGGCTTGTTCCTATAGGTGTGAAGCAACATCAACAACTGAAGAAATTGATGCACGTACTGTATAAGTGGCTTTAGGATGGATTACACTCAAACAATATCCATCATATATCTCCCGCTGATGCCAATCTGAAAAATAATGAAGCAATCAGTGCAACCACTCAGCATGCTAATTACCAACGCCAGCCCAGGACACCCACCGGCAGCTTCTCAGAGTGTGTGTATGCGCACATGTGACAGTTTTAAAAATGCTTTCCAGGAGAAAAATGTCTCACCAATAGACATTTAATTACCAGAGGATGAGGTGCTTTGGTTCTCCCGTGCCATTATTCATGGCTGAATTAATGAATAGGTAAACAGCAGAGGAACAAGGCAGACTCTGCGTGGTTTGGATGAAATCTGCAACACCCCTGCTCACACAGTCAGCAGTGTTTATTATGAATGAAGAAGTGGTTAAAAACAAGGGATGGAGCAAGAACTGCGGGTGCCTCAGACAGTTTATGATTAAGTGATGAACCACAGATGGTCCACGCCTCTTAGTTTTTACATGAAACAGGTGAGAAAATTAACAATGTTTAAAAAATGATTGCTGTTTTCATCGGATAATTACACGGGATTATCATAAATTTTTAAGACAAATAAGGAACGAGTGACAAATTACAGAAAAATCTACACGAAAATAGTTAACAAGCGACTGTAACTAAGTATCTGGAGGAATAAACAAGATTTTTAATCAAAAAAATTATACTGCGATAAATTTGTCATTAAACTTTGAACTCAGAGGTTTGTTTGCTGGACATGAATGGCAACTTTCATGAGGAGTCATCAAAAAGACAGTTTGGATCTGGAAAAACACCCAAACTGTGAACAACAAACGAACCACCAAGGCTCAAGCCTGCCATGAACTGGTAGAGTATGGACCAAGAAGGAAGATCTTGCTTCAAAATACCTTCAAGCTTGCCTAAAATGTGCAGCTGCTCGCTTGGACAAGTCAGATCCTTCTGGAACACCGTACCAACTGTTAAGCATGGTGGTGGTAGCATCATGCCGGTGGTACTGCACCATTGCACAAAGTGGAGGGAATAATGAAGGAGGGCTACCTCCAAATTCTTCAACTTAACCTCAAATCAACAGTTAAATGGTTAATGGGCACAGTTGGGTTTCCCCATAGGACAATGATCCCAAACACACATCATAACTGGCTTTGGGATGGATGAAGCAGGTTAACATGAATCAAAACCTAATTTATATGATTCATAGTGATTTCCCTCCACACAAGATTTAGTTCAATACATTTTTTGTTTTCAGCTTCAAGATCTCTGACATCCAGTTTCCAGTATTTATAGGCCAGTTAATTAATCTAGTAAAGTATCGGTTTAATAAATGATACATATACAGCCAGTACTTTAGTCAGTGTACTGGCTTACTCTCTAATTTACACTTTTGATTAGACAAATTTAAGGTTTTTCCTTTAGAGTTGCTCAGATGTCATTCTGACCTTGGATGAGGTTATGTAAAAAATTTACATAAGTGCCTCTCATCCATGCAGTGGAGCTGGGGCAGCAGTTGCTTCATTTTAACAATGATTTTGTAAGTAGAGATTTTAAGTTAGGTCAAGATTTCTGCCAAAGTAATGACATAAAAACAGCAAATTTACAGTTTTTTTAAAGTATGTTCAGCTCACTCCACATATTTACATATTTTCAGGGCTGAATATTGTGAAAAATACCTATAATTTACCAGCAAGTAGGTGCTTGAGTTCTGATCTCTGCACACCTAAATCTAAATGTATAATTTTTGGAATAGTATCAGTATATATTTGTCTTTATATGTACACAACAACCAAAATAACTCATGAACTCCTTTGATGACCAGTGAACAAAATGATTGATATTAGTCGTTGTTAGCTGCTCTGGGCTTGCATTTAATTTTTGGAAGAAAATCCCAGGGCTTACCAATGAGGAGAGTGACAAAAGCAAACAAACTGCTCCAGACAAAATGAATGTCAATGGCATTCCAGTGGCCTGTTTACAGCTAGCGTAGTTAAATGTCAGATGGTTGGCCCCGCGGGGAAACCGAGCGGGCTGGGAGCAAATTTGTAGGTGTCTCCGTGTCTCTGCCTCCATCATTCCACCTCTTCTCTCTTCTCTGTGATGCCGGACATGGGACAATATGGCGGCATGAGCAGTAGCATCTATTATTAGTTGAAGAGTGAAGAATGGAGCGAGTCCCCAGGGGAAGGCAGAGGTGGCAACCAAACCTCACGGACATTATTTTAGGAGTTTGTGTGTTGACAGTTGTGCGGGAGAGGAATTGTTTGCCACTAATGACAAAGCTTTGTTTGCGTCTCAATTTAAAGGACCATTCCAGTGGTTTTTTTGCACATTGTTTCTGTTGATAACTATAACAACACAGCTAACCATAATCTAAAACATGCAAACCAAACTATAAATTTCTTACACATTCCAGACATTCACTACAGTCTGTAAATTACATTTACGTGTTTTAAGCTGTGGAAGTCGGCCTCAGCAATATCAGCAATGCAAATAGTCAATGGATGAATAAATGTCATCTGCGCTTTGGAGTGCAAACACAAAAAATTAAACCCAGGTGGAAGGAGAGGAGGCAGAGAAATGGTCCAGCTTTTATAACCTGGAAGGCCTGAGTGAACTGAATTACTTGACAGGCCTCCCACATGAGCCAGTTGCCCTCTAAGGTTGGGATTATGCTGTGTACACACACAGCTGCAAAAACCACAGGTGCTTTGTTGTTCTTGTTATAATACCTTGTTCTTGCTATGCTCCTTAGCATGCTACTTAGTATAACTGTGTTGTCACAAAAAGCTGAAGAGCTTGCAGGCGTCCACGAGTCTAATCACGACCCTCGCATTCTTGTGGATACAGAAAACATCCACTTCACACTACCAATGCAGAATGGCTTCAAATCATTTTCGATAAAGTCAGTGACATGAAGCTACAAACGGGCAGCTGACCAACTATGTTCAGCAGTGCAAAGATGCAAAGAAGCTTCAGCCATCAAATGCTTCAATATTCACACACAAGAAGCCCAGGGATGATATTGAGAATCGCTACAGCTGCAGGGACTTGGTGCCAACGTAGCTGCTGGTTGTTCTATAATTTTGATGCTTGTAATATAACTTTAGCATCGCATTTCAGAGGAGGGCTAGGACCATAGACTGTGTATAAAAGATGCTGCATCTTCCTGGTCTGAAAGGAGAAGCCTGTGTGAGTGGATTTAGCATGCATTTTTTTAAATGGCCAATTAATTGGTTTCAAAAACGAACTCGGGCTGTCTATGAGAAAATGGCTCTCGGGCCCTTACTCTTTGACCTCAGCAAACACTTTCCTGACTTCCTGGGCTCATTTCACTAGTTTAAAGTCCTACTAAATAAAACATGCTGTCTCTGTCCCCACCGGAGACATCAAAGCAGCATCCACCCTGGAAGCGATCCACAGCGACGGAGCGTCCGGAGACTGTAGAAAACGAATAGCATTCAACAACGGGGCAAATAACTGCTGGCGGCGCAAAGTGGGCGGGACCTGAGATAAACTCTTCCTACTTCAAAATGCTCCCACAAGTGCTTAGAGGGGATTTGGGATGTGTGCTCATAACATACTGCTTTAATATTTATTTTAATTTTACCTTTTAAAATTGCATCTTAAACTTCTGTGCTGCTATATCTCTATAGAGAAGGAGATAAACAGGGTTTGCTCATTGGCTAACAAATTTTCATTAAAATTTTCATCGTCAACGCCCGGACCAGGACTTCATTAACCAATGGGAGACATCATAGAGCCTCAGATGTTTGGAAATGAAACAGTCATGTAAAAATACTATGAAAATGAAGGAGCCAAATACTTGTTTATATGGTTATTTTTGTTGTTGTTTTTAGCTATGTCTGTGCAGCTCAGTTCAAATAAAATCCCATTGCGCATTCACTAGCAGTTAACATCCAGACTCAGTGCAGAAGACAGTACTATACAATTAACTTACTGTATAATGGATTAGATGTTTGCAACACACAGGGGTTCGAATGCATTAATTTCTAAAGGAATGTATAACTCTTGTTGATATCTTGTTATCTGTATTTACACGTGCTGCCTAAGCCAATAGAGAGATTTTAGGATTATAAAATGACAGAGCCTACATTTACAAAAACATACATATGGTCCTGCAAGAGCACATTATGCAGAGGAAACAAGAAAAATATGGTTATTACAGCAGCAGCAGATGCATAAACTCTCATTACAGCGCTGAAAGGGAGCAGAAAAAGAACTGCAGTTACTACAGCATGTTTGACATATCGAGCTGCAGTGTGTTTACAGCCCAAACAGCCCGTGGAGCGACCAGTGAGTCCAATTTATTTGCGGCTTCTGACAAACCCAAAACGTCAAGTCATCCCTTCTCCCCAAAGGACACCCTCACTCTCCTCTTTTGCGAGGGAGCAGAGGGGATGAGAGGAGGGGAGTCGTTCCAGCAGCTTCAGCGGCAGTTTCATTGGGTTCGTGCTGCCTTTCATTCACTGCACTGCTATTCTGTATATGAGATAATCTGGGTGTGAACATGGATCTTGTGGGCGAGCGGTCCCAGGCCTTCAATTTGTCGGGGTGGAAATGTGAGAGACGGGCAAGGCCCACATCAATTTTTTTAAACGGGCCTTGTTTATAAAAAAACAAAACTGATATCTGTCCAGTTGCTGTCCAGTCAGACTTTGCTGTTGCTACAACGTTGCTTCTGTCTGCTGCCAGCTCCAGCATCAACATCCTCCCCACACAATAAAGCCACAGTCTCCATGGTGATGTACCTGACACCGTTACCAGCATCACAAACACATTCACAAACAAACACAATCACAAAACAAACAAAATCCCACTGTGTCACTTGACAGTTTGTTTGTTTTTTGCCGCTCTGTGTATAGTAATTAATTTGTGGGGTCGCCTCGCTCCATCTTATTCTCTATTAATGCTGTCTCAGATTACCAGGCAGCTTTTTAGCCTCTGAAGACACAAATCTCCGAGCCTAGAGAGGCAGATGGGGGGAGAGAATGGAAGGAAACTGTATAAGCCTCTCTGTCTAATTGTGGGTGACAAGTGCTGATATTTTCATATTTGAGGCGTTCTCCCAGAGGTGGTTAATGACTAGCTTACAATGAAATGTCAGCTCCTGTGACACCTTTGGATAAGAGGACATCAGAGGCAAACTCGCCATAGCTTTGTTCAAATTTTGAACTGTTGGCTGTCTGTATAAACCAATTCCAGTGTTATTCTTACTGATTTTCATCAGTTGTACAAAACTGTAAAAAAGTCTTGAGCCACCCCTCATTTCTTTAAAGGAAGGAGGACATGCCAGACTTTCTCCTAATCTTTTTAAAGGTCTTTTATGGTTTTCCACTCTTTTTCAGTCCAGTCCTTCTACTGTACATGACCATTTTCAGGAGAATGCTTTTTTGTCTGATTAGCTGCTTAATCCTTACCTGTGAATCATTTCAAAGTGAAAAACGCACCTGATTCAAGGGATAAACCAGTCATATCGTTATATATAGCATATAACAGTTTTACATTTTGAATTGTATTTTTAACTGTATATTTTGTAATTTTGAAGATGATTTGAAAAGAAACTATTAATTGAAAACTTGAATAAGTGGCAGATTGTGAAAGACATGTTCTTAAGAAAATGTACATACCTGGATAGAAAAAAACACCATGAAATACTATGAGTCATTAGGATTACTGAAGCAGTGTGGGATCATCCTGACAGAGAATTGAACAAAAGACAGCAAAGATCCAAAGAAGAGCTTTGAATGTCCTTCAAGAAGTCTGGAGAACAATTCCTGAAACTACATAAAGAAATGACAAGAAAGCTTGACTAGAAGAGTTCAGGCTGTGTTGAAGAATGAAGGCGGTCACGTTGACTTTCAGGCTCATTAGAATTGTACAAACTCTGTTTTTGCCTTTTTGACTGTATTTCATGTTTCAATAAATCGCTGCACCTATATAAAGAAACAAGGGGTGGCTCAAGACTTTTGCACAACAGTGTATTTCATGTACTTAACCATTAAATGTAGCCACCTTGTTCTCTTGCTGATCTGTAGCCAAAACATTTGACAGTTAGTTCTTCGCACATTTTTTAACAGATTACAGATATACTGTTACCAGTGTTGGAACTGTATTAACTGTTTTAACAGTACTGACTAGTATTACTCATGTATTTTAATATTTGTTTGTCTTTTACTTACCATTGTTTTTCGTTAACTGTTAACATTTCTGCTGAAACTTTTTAAGGTCCACATTTTACGATTAGCTGATTTAATGTTTTCATATACTGCTTAGCTGCTGCAAAGGTGCCCCCTGGGGTACTTGTATGAAATGGTGGAAATCCCTGATATAACCTTAAGGTTTCTTTGGAAAGAAATCTTTCCTGTTCTTTTGTCACGAAGCACAATGTGGCACAAAGTGCACTCTGTTACACTCGAACAAATCATTTTCCTATCTCCTACATATTTCCTTTTCCCTCATGCAACCTTGCTCCAGACTTGGCTCCCACTTTGCTAACTGTGTATAAAGAACATCAGTTCTGCTCTTCAGCCCTTCAATCAGACTCTCCAGCATCCATGAAATGAGCCATATGGGGCATGGTCAGGGCATAGAAAGAAAGCAACGGTTTTATATACTCCGGAGCTTTTCTTTTCCTGGCTCCCTCTGCTTAGATGCAGGCATTTTGAACAAGGGTAGTGTAAGTGCTAGGCCTGGCAGCTGGCTGTAAATACACATATTGTGTGTTTGGACAAGGAAATGCTTTGATTTGCAGAGCAAGAAGAGTAAAGATGACCCGGCATTTAGGACAAGACAGGGGAGTTGTTCCCCCTCATCACCTCAATCCACAAGAACAATTAGCTGCTGACAGTGACACAGGGGCCCAGTAATAAGCTCTAGCATGGCAGTGGGAGGGGGCACTTCATTCCCAAGCATATGGTGCCACTTTAATCTGCAGCCTCTATCAGACAAGTCTGGCTGGTAGACAAGGTTTCTTTTAACTGATTACGTGCTCAAAAGCTTTGAGGCGAAGATAAGAAGCAAAGGACACACAATGTAAGAAATTCAAAGTCAGACTGACACGGGTTAGCAATTTCCAAATCAGAGGATCTTTATGCTTTTTGGTGGTGCAAGAAGTTCAGAGCTGCTTTTGCACATATTCAGATTCAAGAAGTTGCCAAGGAAACTAGAACCTCCGTTTTTTTTTAACCTGGTGGAAAAGCATTTTCCACAACGACAGGGCTGCGATTTGCTTCCTTGTTATCCGTGGTCACAACCTGCCATCCATTAGAGGTTCTGACTAATCCTCATAGGTGAGCCTCACACCTGGTAATCACTGGGCTGACACCTTCTAGTATTGTAACTAACATGCAGCTCCCCCAGGACTTCTCATAATCCTATTAGCCCCAGTCATCTGAAATGCATTAAAAAAAATGTGCTGATTGATCCTAAACCACAAACCTTCGGCGTCTTGATCGCACCTCTCGATGTTTCACTTTTCACATGTGGGTTTAACAAAGTGGGATCCTTCTTCTGCGTCTAGTTTATTTTGCATGTGACAGAGAGACAGTTGGATTAAAGAGGCTCTCAGATGGTACCGAAGAAAATCAAACGCTGTTCAAACAGGATTATGTAAGAGCAAAATATGCTGAGCAACTGCGTCGTTTAAAGAACTTGACCGTGGAAAAAATAAAACACTCGTATAGACTGCAGGAGTAAAGAACAGAGTTATGAACCTTATGAACAAATATGCCTCATTTCTTAGATTTCTTACAACTTTATATTGACTAAATCTATATTAAATAACCTTTGTGGCAAAGTATGGGGAAACACCAACAAGACTAAACTCATCAGCCACTTTATTAGGTACACCTTGCTATTACTGGGTCTTTTTACCTTCTTAATTCTGCAAACATACTGCAAATGCTCTTCAGAGATTTTGCTCCATGTTGACATGAAATCATCACACAGATGTTGAAGATTTGCCTGCTGTACCTCCATAATGAGAGTCTCCTGTTCCACCACATCCCAAAGGTGCTCTACTGGACTGAGATCAGGTGACTGTGGAGGCCTTTTGAGTACAGTGAACTCATTGTCACGTTCAAGAAACCAGGAGATGGATATACTGTGGTCATAAAGGGATAGATATGGTGAGCAACAATACTCCCCAGGTGGTACTAAGGGGCTCAAAGTGTGCCAAGAAAATATCCCTCACACATTACACCACCAGCAATGTGAACCATTGATACAAGGCAGGATGGAGCCATGTTTTCATGTTGTTTATGACCATAATATTTGAATGAGACAGCAGAAATCAAGGCACTTCAGACCATGGAACGCCTTTCCACTCTTCCATTGTCCTATTGTGGTGAGCCCACGTGAATTGTATCCTAAGCTTCCTGTTCTTAGCTTTAAGGAGTGGCTCTAAAAAAGGTCATATTTTGCAAAAATGAATATAATGTTGCATTCAGCAGGACTCAAAACCAAAAACTGAGATCATAAAACTCATAAAGAAAATATTTACAGATCAGCTGAGAGGAATGATTGTTTTCCTTTAGGCTTCTTTACTATTAGACTTCATTTTTTATCCCCTGCAGGATGTTTAGAAGAATGGAGATTTAAGCAAGTTCAGAACTGGCTTCACTTTTTAAGACACAAAACCTACGTCCATCATTTATTACAGATTATCTGACACAGCACTTTACAGCATTTTTTGACATAGATGACAAAATTCATTAGGTTCTAGAAACACTGGAGTAAATAGCAGGACATCTTCAGAGTGATTAGCATGCATCTGCTGAGAACAATGAATATCTGAACTCGATTTTACGACAACCCTTACAACAGTGTTGGATATATTTCAGTCTTGAGCACTGTTGTGGACTGAAAAACAGACCAACATTTTCATCCCTAGAGCCAATCTGACAGCTGGTCTAAAAATAGCACGTTTGCTGTTGGGGATGTTAAACATGCAGAGCTATCAAACAAAGTTGATCAAGCTAAAAACCCCTGAAAGCACCATCATTTTGCAGTAGACTGACTGTGTGGAAAACAAAAGATTTTGCCATTATTCTCTCTGTCGTTTTTCGTTTATGGAGCTTTTAGTGCTCCGGACGCCATCAAACGCTCCTAAAAAATCGTTAACCCCTCTTACACAACACATTCGCAGCAGCTTTTAACTTTGATAGAGCTTATGGACCCTTTTACGCCCCTTGGGTCCCTCTTGGTATGGAGGGTGACCATCAGTGGATCAGTGGGTGGAGGTCCAGATTGGAGTGGCATGACTGCAGATGAGGAATGCGAGGAATTCCTCTTGTAAACACCTCACGCTCGGACGGTCCCCACACACTTATCTCCCCGTGCCCATCGCCCCCCTTTAATCATCGTAATGGTTAGTTATTCATTACCATTCTGTTTGAATTTCCTGTGACCTCTGCTTGCTGTGGGCAGGTGGGTCTTCTGCTGCTGCCAAGAACTGAAACCCTTTGTTTACCTGAGGCACCACATGGTATATTATTCATTTCGAACCCCCCCAGCGGGCAAATAGAGCCTGTTCTGATACTACTGTATACAGTATGCTGGATTTCAAATGTCAACACCCTGAAAGAGAGCCGCTTTTTCTTTCCTTTCTTCTTTTTTTATTTAGAAGTCAGGCTGTTTTTCTCGAGCCCCGTCTCCTTCTGGTCCTATGGGAGCACTCTTTAACCGATAGGATCATAACCGGCTCTGGGGTAAACTTTATTTTTCTTCTAGGTTGAATAGAGCCGCTTTTGGTTTCTTTCAGCGTGCCACCTTCCCCTGCAGTTCCTGTTTATGAATCCCCCTCTTGGTTTAATGAAAGTAATTTCCAAAGTAGCTAAGGGGCCTTCGTTAATACTGGATGGCATTTAGAGAACACAGGAAAAGAAACACAGGCGCAAGCTGGCTGGCTTTCCTTCCTTTGCTAAGGTAAAATCCTGTTTTGGCCACTTGCTGTTTTGTCAGACTGGAGGAAGGTGCAAAGTCCATTTAGAACACATAATGTGCAGCGTGAGGGGGCCCATGAGGGCTGCATTCCAACTCATAGTGTACCATTCTCTACCAGTCATGAGAGACGCCTGCTTACAAGTACAGGACCAGCTCACACCATCATAGCCACATTCCCTTAAAACGTTCCCATCAGTTTGACTGCAGTTTGCAAGAGTCAGAAACCAGATGTCCCTTTCCCAGGAAACTCCCTGATAAATTTGTGTGCAGCTCTGGATGTGATTGCTGATATTTTCTGGTTGTTTTTCGGTGTTAATGTTGGCTTTTCCTGACATTTCTGATAAGAAAGTAGCTGTGGATTCTGTTCAGCTCCTGGCCACTGCAAGTTCCTTCTAAAGTTGACAGCAGATAGGAGTAGAAAGGCGTTGAAATGACCGACACTTTGACCTTCATAATAATACAGGGATCAGAAAGAAGTGGCGGGATTTGTGGGCGGTAACCTGTCATGTAACCTATTGTTTGCAGTTTATGTATTTGAACAAGTTTCTGGAGGCTTTCTACCTTTGAGCAGTCGCATGTGACAGAAACATGAATGACAGAGTAAAAACAGAGAACAGATGGAAAAATGGCTAAATTTACTTCTCAATATTTGGTGTTTTAGCAAAGACTGTACATAAAAGATATACTGTGACATTACCCATTGTAGGCTCTGATTTTAGAGCCCCAATCAGGCCATAACTATTTTGTCTTCTGAGTAAAGATACGGACTGAGAAACAGGGCTGTGCTATATCATATCACTCATAATAACCATTGATAAAGGTGTCATATGACAACATCAACGATGCAGCGATGCCATACGTTTACTTTTCCCCTTTTTTTCTGTTTTATTATGTGATAATATTGTGCATCTCCTCATTATGTACAAGGTTAAGCTACTTTAGTTACTGTTAAACTTATGCTGTGTCACTACTACTGCACTACAATGCTGCTGCTGGTACCTTGATAGACTCACACTTACTAAGTAGTCTATCATCAATCACAGTAGCTCACTGTAAAAGAAAAATGTACTTTAATTTGTTTGCAACTATAACTCCATTGATAAAACACCCTTCAGTCCTTTTTCCCACATAACCATAAAAATCATTATTTCCTTTAAATACCTGGATATAATTTTAAGTCTATATCACCTCCTAGCCAAGAACAGCCAAGAACAGAGCAAACTCAGTGCAATATTAGCATAAGAATTACTCAAACCCTAAAACTGTACGTTGACTAATCATCTATTTTACTTTAAAAAGAAAGTATATCCTGTTGTGTTAAATAAGATGTCAAACTTGTGATAGCATAAACTCACTGGAAAGGTGTTTCCTGAGGTCTTGATCAAGTGAACACCAGAGGAATTTTCCTGTAAACTTCTAAACAATGACTGCTTTTTGTAACCAGAGTAGTCGCCACTCTATTGGCCAACAGAAATACTGCAGATTTAAGACGCTTACTCAATTCAGTTCACAACAGTGATCACTTCTAATATTATAAGACCTGACAATACGAGGCGAAAAGAAAAAAAGAAGAAAGCTCAAATATCTAAACAACTGTTCCCCAAATTGCTCAAAACAACAAACAGTTGATCTACTACAATGCTGTACTAATAATTCAGGTTATATGAAGGTTAACAGATCAATTAATTACCCAGTTTGAGCACTAGATTTGGGATACTGTGACTAAAACTTGAAGTTGTTTTAACATCAACCTCTAACTACAATCAATCGGTTAATTAAGTCCAAAAACGCTGAGAAATAAAAGGTCTCTGAACTCTTGATGCTAAATGAAGCCAAGCTTTAAACTGAGTGACTGCGTGACACGAATAGCTGTCCTTACTTCTAGTTACATTAGACAAATGACAAAAACAGCAGTATTGTGTAAAACTGGTGCCCAAGCATCGTGGACAAAGAATAAATGTCCTCATTAGTGTTAAGTGCTTTGCTCATATGTTTCCTAATACCCATTCATGGTATCACAGCATGTCAGCTCGCTCTGAGGAAGCTGTCAGCCGCAGATGTCAATACCCCTGCTGACCCTGCTCCCTCCCCCCCAAACCATTGCACACATGGCACTGGAGGATTGTCCCCCCAGAACAAAGGAGTGGGGGGTTTCTGTGGAGGACGAGCAACCAAACATTCCCGTTACAATGGGGAGAGTGGCCGGCAGGTTCAATTAGCACACACTTTAAACTGTTCTCTATACGAACCCTCTGTTCTTGAACAAAGCTGAACCACACTCCTGGGGTATTTGGTGATGCAGTTTGTTCTTGGCACTATGGCATTTTAAGAGAGTTTCTTCTATTATCTCCTTTGTTTCTGTCCATGTTGCCTGACAAATAAAGCACTCGGGACAGAGATGATCAGACTGGAAGACTCGTGGCTTTTATTGTCTTCACAAACTTTATCCAAGAAAAAAAACTGGAGAAATCAGTCTGTACTCTCTTCAAGAACTAAGTGTCACCAAAAGTCCATTGAAACCCTCGAAAGATGTTTTATTAGGTGGTAATGTTCATTCATTTAAGATGATTTTCAAGCCTCTTAAGCCCCCTAAGATCACACTGAATAAAATAAATAAATAAAAACTATTCCTCAATTACATGATGATTCTTCCAGAAAGCAACGCGAGCTCAACTTCTGACGATGGCATTTCCCAGTCTTGATATCAATATTCACATCGTGCAATGCATTATTGATGCTCTGAGCTGATAGGGCATGAATGAGGATATCTTGCAGTGACATGTTCTGCAGCACTGACAGTGATTTGAAGCCCAGACCTTCGTGTCTGTCACCGCTGCTCATAACTGCCCGGAAACCCTGAGCAGATTTCAACAAATCGGACGTTTAACATAATCAATAAGCAGAGGTAAGAGCGATCAATAAAACACGCCGGATGCGCAGAGCAGCTGGAGGGTGATGCGTGTAATCTGAAGTACAGGGATGAAGATGTAGCCGACTTACCTACTGCACAAGGTGCGCCGTAACGTCGGGCAGCCTGCTCGGCGTATCCGAGTGAAATGCAACCCAAAAGCCGCCGTGTCACACTTCACACCATCCGGGCGCACATGTTGCCAGTCCCCGCACAGAAATGTCCGAATCATGAGCTGCAGCGAGAAGCCAGTGGAGCCCAGGCAGCGGACTGCAGGAGCCGACCGTGTCGCTGTGGGTCCCCCGGCCCCTGGGAAGCGGCACTGTGCGTCCAGGCGCTGGACTACAACATGCGCAGGGCGCCACCCTTCGCTGGACCTCTGGACCCCTCTGCGTCCACCTTTCCTCTCTCAGCCCCAACGCCGTAAATAGCGGGACGTGAAGCAACCCCCTCCCAGCCTCAAGGCAGCGTAATCCGCGGCCACGGGTAATGGAACTGTGATCCGTGATCTCCCCTTAATGCTTGATGCGCAATTAAGAGGCGCGCAGGACGCCGGTGCCACCCACCACAGGAGGTTCTCGTGGTGAGCGTACGGACGGGGAATTTTAATGAGGACTGCTGCAGAGTTTTCCTCCCTGATCGCAGGGTCGCGCTGAAACCCCCCGTCCCAACACGAAACCCACAAAGTTAGCATATAGAAAGAGGACCGCGTGACGCAGTGAAACGTCAGTGAAGCTGAACTCTTGGCCAATTGCCAGTCAGCAAAGTGGGACGTTAGTCCACCTCTGTGGGACACCTGTTGATGGAAAACTGTTTCAGACATCCACACTTCCTGGAGCGGGACCTGTGAATATTAATATTGTTGTCGTGTCCAGCTGCAGAGCTCCGGGATTTTTATGAGCTGCAGTGGTTTAAGAAACGATGCGTTAACTCCTGAACAAAGTGTAAAAGAGAGAAAGAAACACTTAAAATCCTGCCTTCATTACTGGTTTAATAGACTTATTAGCAAACATCGCTTTTTAATGATTCTGTTGTTTACAGACAGATAAAATAAGTACATTACAGGCGTGATTTAGCTCTGTGAGAACATTTAGTTAATTAAACCATAACTAACTATTAATTTGATCTAAATTGATACAACACATAAAAACTAATAAATAAGCACTGAAATGTTTCCCATCACTGCTGAAAGTGTGATTCAGTGCAGGACTTATAGTGGCTCTCCACCTATTGAGGGCTATGCAAGCTTGTTCCCACGCTGATTGTTTTTTTTTTCATTTATTTATTTATTAATTGATCGATTACCAAGTAGAAGTAGGTTAAAATTTCGTGTTAATCTCTCAAAAATCTTGAAATTTTGAAATAATAACCCAAAATTTCCACTTCCACTGGCATTTATCTCCAGCTTGCATGTTCACAAAACTAAGACTCAAAATATGAAAATACAACATTAAATAAAAAGATGTAAGCATTACATAATTTATATATCCGCTTCTATATTTAATTTTTATTTTTTGGAGGGGGGGGGGGAGAGTTGCTTTATCTGCTTTTTTTTTTTTGCTCTTTTGCCAGATTATGTTTATCATTATCATGTTTTTTTAAAAAACTTTTGTATTAAATTATGTTATTAGTTGTTAAACATCAGTGCAAAGCTACATTATACATGCCTTCCTCATACATTATAATTTAGCATTGTCATTCTTTTATTAGTTGGGGTTTTTATTTTGGCAGTCTTCATCTTCCATATCCCTGATATTTAAGTCGCATATTGGCTATGCTGGCATAAAGTTAACAGCAATATTAAGTTATACGATAATTTAACCCTTGCCTTTCCTGTAGGAAAAACTGTTCAAGGGTGGACTTGTTCACAGCTCACAGGTATGTGCGGTGTGCAAGAACAGGTCCTTTGCCCTATAATATGCAGCTTAATTAAATACGGTTTGGTTGTTAACATTAAAATTATTGGTTGTAAAATTTGAAACTTGCCAAACTTTGTGAGTGACCTTAAGATGCCCTCTGGGATCTGAGTCATGTTTCCCTCCCTGTCAGGATTCCTCCTCTAATCCCACACTTCTAAATACTGAACCTGTGGGGAGGCGGTCAGCTGGTCCATCTATTACGAGGTTAAACCACTTAACCATCTTATGAGAGAGAACGAGGCCTCAAACCTCAGCTGGCACGCTATATGAAGCAACACATCAGTGTACCAGAGGTCTACATGAACAGAGTAAACAAAATCTAGTGTTTACTAGACTGGAGGGGGGATCGACAGATGATGCAAATGGGCTATAACCAGTGAAGGGCAAGAAACATGTCAATTTGACCAAATTTGTCAGAGACTAAGTTAATAAGCTGCCTTAGGCAGGATGATTTCTCAATAAATACACAGGCAGGTTTTATTTTGCAAAAGAAAGAAAGGTAACAACACACACTTACAACAGGACATTTGGAAAAAAAAAAAAATCATAGAAGGCTTGGTTAACCCCCACCCCCCCAAAAAAATCCTAAACAATAAGTAAAGTTATTAAATATATAAATGTTAAAACAGCACTTGGGAGACTTGAGTTTACATTCTGCTGCTGAGAAATCAGACCTGAGGCATGCACTGACACACTACTGCCCTCTACAGGCCAGAGAGTAGCATCGCATGCAATTACAAAACGTGACTCAACATTTTCTGCAGACGTTCATTAACTCATCCATCACAAGCCGAGTCTCTCGGTGCAAGCAGCAGCTCCAGGGCGCTCTATGAAAAATGCAGTATTACAATACAGGTGCTACATTTATTTTATTTTCATACAGGTCATAAAAAATAGGGATTTTTTTTTTTTACAATCATCTTCACATTGTTGAAAATATTTAAGATATTTAACTTCAGTTCACACGGCTTTTTTTCAGCCTGGAGGTCTCTGCTGCTGCTTTACGTTTACGTGACGGTGTGCCTGGAGCTTCTTCAGAGGGAGCTTCAGCCAGGTGGTACAGCTCGATGGGTGGTGTTGGCTCCTTAAGCAAAGATGGGAAAAAAGGCCATTGCTAAAAATCAATCTTTAACATTCAATTTTGTGTGGGCTGCAACATGGAAGACATCAAACGTCTTTCAAGTGAGAAATTCAGCATCAGACTCAGCTGAGAATATATAAATGAAGAGCCCTGCTAACCTGCATGAGATAGTCTGCAATGTATTCTGGCTTCAGGCATGTGACTCCTTGTGAGGTAGCCTCTAAAACATCAACTCTGAAGTCTCCGGGTTTGAGTCGACTGAAGTCTGCAAAAAGATGTGTGGCCTCTTTGTACAGGGATGGGGAGGGACCAGGAAGGACCTGCAGAGAAATGACAGATGTTTGCTGTGTTTGTGGAAAGAAGTCAAATGAAGCAGACAAACGTAAACCTGCAAACAACACAATTCTTTCCCCTTCAGCATACTGCTGTGATGGTTATTTACCTCCATCTAAAACAACAGCCCCATCTTCTTAGCTCTTATGTTTTTTCCCCTCGCTTTCTTTTGACTCACTAGCTCAGTTTTATCAAGGATTCCAAATTTTACATCACAGACATTTCTAAAGATTATATCAAAAAATAAATATCAACCTACTGAAGCTGTTGCTGTTTTAAGACACTTTTAGGATGCTAATCTATCTTGGCTAAAGACTGCATACTGCTGGATGTGTCTCATAAAAGAAAAGCACTGAGAAACCTTCGCCCCGCCAGACTGCAGCAACCGCCTGAATCCCGATTCTCTGCTCTGGTCGATGTTCAGCATGACTGTCCATCCACTGAAGGCGCCCTGAAAAATACAAATGCCTGTTTATAGAACACAAAATGCCTCAGAGCCGTTGTTTTTATTGTGTGTATGAGCCTGCTCGTACCTCGTGTTCAGAGTGACCCTGCAGGCTTTTTCTCCAGCGCATGCCGGCTAACGCTAGTCTCTTTTGTTGGGAGGTGATGGAGGGCAATGCGTCAAGGATGGAGCTATTGCCCCACTCAAACTCCTCCTCCTAGATCACAGATTTGGAGATTTTTGAGGAAAAGTCAAGAAAGCCTTTTTTGTGGTTTTTATTAGAAGTGACCCGTTCCTTGTCTAGTCTAAAATAACAGCCTAAGATGACGGCTGTGTGGTGATACTTGCATGAAGGACTCTCCTTGAAAGTATTGGTGTTATCCGAGCGCTTATATTCCACATTCCCAGACTTTCTATCATATTTACGTGTGGCAAAGATTGCTCTTCGGATTCTGACCTGAATGAAGAGACCCACAGAGCGGCACGCCTCCAGGTACGAGCGGTGCAGGATCCATTTCCCAGCTGCCATCGCTGCCAGGTACTTCTCATTACGCAGGGGTGTCCCGACGATGATGTGTGTGCAGCTGGGGTCAAAAGACTGCTTATCCAAGACTACACCACCTACAGCAACAGACAGAGACAGAAAACTACACACATGGTACACTTGGCCTGTGCAGGGATTATGGCTGCAACACTGTTAACTGAATGGCATGAAAATGCAATATAAATATGAAGTTTATCCTATTCCACTGACTCTATCAGACCCTCTGATAACATGTTTCCAGCACCATGGATATAGTCACCATCTGTGCGCCTATTTTAAACTGGTAAACTGGTTTGGATCTCGAAAGGTTGGATCACAGCACATTTTCCATGACCTCACATGTGATCGCTGACCCCAGTGAGTATTTTCATATTCTACAGGTTGGAAAGAGAAGATGTGCAACTCAAAAACGGTGGAAACAGACTGGTTTTTCAGCATTTATGGCTGATGAAGTAAATGCAACATTATCAGTGTAGCAGACATTGGTTGAATGCAACTTTTTGTTTGGTTGAAACAGGTTTAGTTTTGGATTACGGTTTGCCAATAATTAGTGAAGATTAAACTCATGTGTAAGAGGACTGAGAATGCTTTACTGTTAGTAAATGACCTCAAAGAGACAGCCGAACAAACACGTCTTGTAGGGGAAATGCTGGTAACGAAGTGAACTTTTAGCCAATATATGACAACCGTTTATTCTAACAACCTCAAACTCAACGCTGCACTTATTTCAGTTCCCAGCAATACACCCACCAAGTTTAAAGCCTAGCAGATGAACGGATGTCAAGCTATTAAGCTAGTAAGATGCGCTGAGGCAGAAATACAGTGTGAAAGTTTTAATAATGATATAACTTGTCATGACCAGTGAAGATCTGAGTCATGCTTCTTTTGACAGAGGAAACAGTGCTGGAGGAACTACTTCCATATCCTGGAGGCAGATCCTCAGTTATAGTCATCAGGGATTAGCTCCTCTGACTTCCAGCCTCTGATGTGCTGCCTTTTGTACTGCAGCACGATGAAACAGCGTTAGATCGCTAATTAGATGGGAGACTCACCAAGCTCCTCTATGAGGTGACTGTAATCAATGCGCTCCTGGGGGCTGAGGGAGGACAGCTGAAATCTGGGAGGTTGTTTTTCTTCCTTCTTCTTCTCCTGAGAAAAATAAACAACCTTTTAGCACTAGTACTTTGCTTGAAAGAGACGTACAGATTGTACACTGCGCAGTACAAATGATCAGTTCATTATTATGTAACTGAATAAGCACAAGCATGCAGCTGTTTGCGTAACGCAGGAAAGTGGAGAGAAGTGTTACACAATGCTGAGCAATTAAATTTCATTTAGACCAGATTAAAGCTTCACGTGTTGTTGTCAGTGCAAATTTCGAACCCTTCACCTGTGGTTCTGGTGCTACTGCGGGGTTGGCGAGAGGAAAAGCAATGCTGGGAGCTTCAGGAGTGAGGACGTCATTCTCTGGCTCCTCGGGAGGAGGCGTCAGGACTTTCTTGTTCATG